GTATTTTTAATATATGTTTTCCTTGGGAAGTTTCTCCAGAGCTTTTGGATGCTTTTTTATATTTAAAGACTTTGGATTGAGATACTTACCTGATTCGGCATGGAATAAATTTACATGAATACCTTTTTCCGTATTGGTTTCCACCGTTGCGCGGGCCAGTTCCTTTCTTTTATTTGGATTTGACTTTTTTCGGAACGTGACTATTTGCCATGCTTCTTTCTGCTTTGCTGGTTTGACCCTGTCCTGTGCTCCTTTATCCTTCATTGGGTCCATCTCCATTTGGTTTTTATTGGTTTCCTTCATAGTTAGTTTGTGTGAGCAGAGATTCCCTGTGTGTCCAAGGACTCCACAATTTGGGCACAAACCATTGTATCCTTCATATGCTAGTTGCTGATTGTGATGGCCAATACAGATGGATTTTTTGACAAAAACTCCAATTGGAACCTCAACGCATATTCTGGCATAGCGACCTCTCAAGGCCTCTAACGTGCATAGATCCGTCTTAACAAGTTTGCCATGTTTTTTTTGCCTATTCTAGCTAGAATTGAGTGATCATAAAATTTAGTTGGTAGCTCCGAAAGTCTAATCCATATTGCTGATTTGGTTTCCTTTGCTTCGAAGGCCACGAAATTTGGTGCCATCACTTGATTTATAGGAAAAAACCGTTAATAAACCATGGCCCCTGTTCTAGTGTTTTTTTGTAGGTTTTCCTCTTTATAAAATTTCACTATGTAGTAGTCGAATCCTAGATCTATAAGGATGATTTCTTCAGAGACTTTCTATAGAACGGATAATTTCTTTTGTAGATACAAGTGACTCATTTTTTCCCCAATACTTTAATGATAATGGAATATGACCATTGTTTGTAGATCCTCTATTTTTCTTTCTCTGTTAGGTGTATTCTGATGAGTCCACAAATTGGACTCATTTAGGACTTTATTTTAATGGAAATAGTGTCCTTGAATGCTATTTTGCCTCAATATCTGATGAAAACTCTTAAGTTTAAGGTATTTGAAGTTTTACTGGAAACGTGGACACTTAGGCGCAAAACGGAGCAAAAAGGGCTGAAAAGAACGAAAAAATGAAGACCTGAGGATCGCCAAGTCCTTTTGGCAAATCGCTGAAGGAACACACTTCGCCCTATGTTCCAGTATGCGAAGTCCTAAAGGAAGTGGATCAAAAGGCGTTGAAAGGAGCAGTCGGCGCGTCGTCGAATAGTTCCGCGAAACAGTATTATACCGCCCAATGGTCCAGAACATGGAGACGCTGAAGGCAAGCAGGAAACAACGATGAAATTGAAGAAGGGCGAGTCGCTGAGTCAGTTGGCGAACTCGACTAACGTCGCCGAACAATCCTCCGCAGCAAAATTTGTGAAATCTATAAATACTCGTAGAGCTGTAGACTTAGTGTGCAACAATTATTATAATTTTCACTTGGTGTGGAACTATTATTATTATTTTTCACCTTAGAACATACTTTAGCTTATATTTCATCTCAAGTTTGGAGAGGATTTTCTGGAAACTTGAAGAAAAGAGTTCATCTTCCCAAGTTGGAAGTGGGTCTTCTCTATTCATCTTCCTTTGCTTAATTCAAGGTTTAATTTCTTATACCCAGTTGATTTCATTATCATGTTAGGTGTAATTTCTTGTTTCTTGATGTGTGGCTAAAAACCCCATTCTTGGGGTGTGATTTAGCAAATATGGGTTGATATTATTGTTGGGTCTTGCTTGTTGATATGGTAGATGTATTTTAATGGTGATTTCACCTAGTGGTTGTGTTTTAATCTAAAGGGTTTGTAGTTTTAAATACAAAGCCACCCATGTATTTTCGGCTTGCCCGAGAGGGAGGTCGTGAGACCAAAACCACTAGACTGATGGCCTAAGGGGTGGGTCGACATAAGGTTCAGCCCGAGAGGGTGAGCCCTAGTCCCATATCCTAACATTCAGCTCGAGAGAGTGAGTGAGGTAAGCCGTAGGCTGGTCTTCATGCGGCAGATGGATATCCGAGAGGAACTCATTTTAAACGGGGTAAGTTGCCCGAGAGGGAACTTATTTCCATTTAAAGCTTAGCCTAGTCACTATTATTTTGCAAATTTTCTATCGAAAGCATGTACCTAACAATCTATCTCAACTTGTATTGCAGTCACATCCCAAGAACCTTTCCCCATACTTAATTTTGTTGTTTATTTACTTGTTACAAAACCCCTATTTGATATTTGACACTTTTGTGTTCACCCCTTTAATTTACAATTGTCTTTTATCGCAATTGTCTTTAACTACGACTAATATGAATGAAATTCTAATTGGCTATTAATTTTCAAAACCGCTCCCTTGGGACACGACCCAACCCTTGGTTGGGTTACTATATTATCAACGATAGTAGACACTCATATCGTAGGATAGTGTCGTTGGTCACGATAAGCATCATATTCCTTCCTCGTCGTCCATTCCTTTATATGTGGTGGTCGTGCTATCCGTGTTTGTTTTTCCACTCATCGGTGGCTCGTCGATTATCATATCCTCCTCAAAATTTGTCCTTGATATTGTTCGTTGATCGATTTTTTTTGAATATGAAGTTATGAGCATCTCCTTGAAGGATACTTCATTGTCAATCTTTGCTTTAATGTTTCTATCTTTTGTTATTTCTTCGCTTTCGATTTCACTTTGTGGTGCTGCAACTTTGTCCATTGGTAGCTTGTGGCTCAGGATTTTTTGTTGCAAATGCATATCTTCTTGAATCAGAGCCTGTAATGGAGTAGTTATTTCAATAAAATATCTCTTCTAGTTCCAAATGATGTCTGGCGAAATACATTGATAGCCCTTTAAACTTACTCTGCTCACTCTTTTAAGATAAGTTATTTCCGTTATGTGAGTTCTCTTACCGAAATAGTTATCAATGCAATATTAATATGACACAATTTGAGGCACTGTATGAAAGGGAATGCAGATTGTTCATAGGGTGATTTGAGGCTAGTGATGTGGAACCTTTGGGTGTTGATTTGGTTAGGAAAGCCTAGGAAATAGTGATGGGAAATCAAGCTAAGTTATTGACAGCCTATAGTAGGCAGTATGCGGACCACATGGTAAGAGACATAACCTTTCAGGTTGGGGAACAAGAATTGTTTAATGTGTCACCCATTTAAGGAGTGATGAGGTTTAGTAAGAGGGACAAGCTTAGCCCTCACTATAGTGGTCCATTTGAGATTCTTGACCGTGTGGGGGCTAATGGATTACAGGTTAGCACTACCTCCCAACTTGACTGTAGTTCATTTGATGTTTCATGTGTCTATGCTAAAGATATACCATAGGGATAAAGATTATATCATCAAGTGAGATTCAATAGTGTTGGACAAAGACTTGCAGTATGAAGAGAAACCGATTGTGATTCTTGATCGGTATGTCCGTAAGTTTGGATAAAATAAATTAGATCAGTAAAGGTCACATGGAAACATCATCTACTTCGGAGACCGCGAGAGAAGTGCGAGACAAGTACCCTCACTTGTTCGATGATTCATGTACTATACTTTTTTCTATTTTAACCTAGTTTTTCTTGTTTGATCACCTGGGGACGAGTGATGGGATAAAATGGTATTTGTTGTAACGACTTATTTTGATTGTTATGACTAGGTCAATGGTGAATGAAATCGGGCTAGAAAACTTTTCATTAGAGACCTAAAAATTCTAGGCTAGACCAGTTCAGACAGAATTCGAGCGAGGCAAAGTCTAGGTCCATCCGAGAATGGATGAGGCAAAATGTCTAGGCTTGATATCCTGGATTTCCTTTACAGGCTTCGTTAGTGTTACATTTCAGATTTCCTTCTTCTGGTGGACTCCATGTTACACTGTGATAATGCACATGAGGTCTGTAGTCTTTCTGTTGGCTTATAATGGCAATCCACTCCCTTCTTTCCAACTTGATCCATGTGTATTTAATCTTCACCAACTTTCTCACCAAGTCTTGAACTTGCTCCTCCATTGTGTGGTATGTAGTATTTCCTCCATACTTTCTGTTGTTCCTTCTCTTTCAAAGTGTCCACATTATGAGTGCTAGCATGGCTTGATATATCACTTTTAGCTTTGATGAATTATCTTGTTTCCACTATGTGATAATTAGTTGTTGAAGGTTCATTCCAGTAATGTTTATACTTGCAAAACTAGCAAACTGCCTCCATAGCCTAGTGGCTATAGGGGTTGTTAGAAAAAGATGTGACATAGTTTCCTCCTCCTTTGTTTCACAACACCAACATCTAGAGGCAATTAGAATGTGCATTCTTTTGAGGTTATCATCTGAAGCTATTTTCCTATTTCATACCCTCCACAAGAAGAAATTCACCTTAAAAGGAAGTCTTTTACACCATATAAACTCATAATCTCTTCTGCATTCCCTCTTCTGTCTCAATAAATGCCATGCAGATTTAACTGTGAAAATACCTTGAGTATTTCCCATCCACCAAGGTCTATCACTTCTATTCTCAATTATGGGGGGTTTATGCTTTCCATTATGTAACCAGTCGGGTAGACTAAGATGGAGTTTATTTTACAGTTGTTCCAGGAATATGGGTATAAAGTGAATTATATTCACTCTTTATGATGTCCTTTCTCTGAAGACGGTGATATTAGAGTTTTGAGACCGATTCTGACGTCGAACAAGTTTTCGACCCCAAAAGCTCCATAGAGCTGTCGTATGCGGGTACTACGAGGCCCACGACTTTCTTGATCGCCTCATTCGGGTTAAGATGTGGCTAAAGTCTCTCCGAGGGTAGCGTATATTACGCTCGAGGTCTCTCGAGCCTCCTGTTGTACCAATGTCTCCATTTTAGGGTTTAAGGAATAAGGTAATGAAATTATGATATGGACTTTTGTTGTTGTTACGACAGGCGGAGAGCAGTGCCGTATTGGTCTAATTCTTTGCGCCTTATCTGCCTCATTGAGGCAATTACCAGTCAACGTTGGTTGGAATGTGATATTTTCCTTTTATTCCACATACTAAAGGCCCCTCTCTTTTTCCTTATCACCTTAGCGCAGACAAGAAAATCGACATTTCGAAAACAATTAATAGAAGAAAGTTCCCAGAATATTCAGGAAGAATGAAAGCCTTTATCTTTATCTCCTGAGACAGTTTTGTCAGCATCTTTGTTTAATTCCAACTTCCATTTAGCATAAATTCCTTGATCTCTATTTCTTCTTCAATAACATTTTCTCCCTCTATAAAGTATAAAGCTCCTTGTTTTGTCCAGTTATCAAACCAAAAGCTTGAATTTCCTTCACCTGCCACCAAATATCTGCTCAATGGATAAATCTCCTTTCCTGCTTATGTCTTCTATAATTTCTTCCATATTATTATCTTCCTCTTCTTGCAACTTTTTGTCTATCTCTAGTTGAGATAATTGATGAATCTTTGGTGCCTTCTGCGGGGTAAGTAACCCTTTGTTTTCTTGTTCCATTCTTCCCTTCATTGTGTCCCCAACTGAGCCTTCCTTTCCCCATTGCAACAGTATGCACTACCTGACGATTCTTGTTCATTTTTTGCTCTACTTGCTGCCTGACTGTGGCTGGTATATGCCTTCTGTGTTGTTCCTTCTTTTGTTTGTGAGTTGCTGCTGCCAGGAGTTCTTAGCCCATGATTTTGATTATCTGTTAACATATTTTCCTCTTGCCTATATTGTTGTTTGTTTTTTCTTGCCTCTATTATTTGTGATTCTCCATGTTCCCCAATAGTTTCATCTTCTTTCTGCCTGATGTTAGAAGTTTGTTCTTTAAGTTGTTCCTTATCTCCAATAGTAACTCCCCCTAGCTTCAGATCATTACCCCCTGTGTTTCCTTCTCCTACCCCAGTGTCATTATTGTCCTCTAGTGCTCCAAATTTGTTAGCTATTGTTACTATTTAGGTCTATTAATCTCTCAATATTACTGTTGTTTCTATCTATAATTTGTTTAACTTAAATTCATAACTGGTTGTGTACTGATATTTTAAAAAAACAATAATTTATAGAGAGAAACAACATTAATATTGAGGGAATAAATAGAACATTTTGTCTTTCTAAATGAATTATTGAGCAAAGTTGTGTAAATATATGTAACATGCATGAATATTTATTCCAATACCTCTAATAATTGTAGACAAGTTCTAGGCTAGACCAGTTCAGACGAAATTCGAGCGAGGCGAAGTCTAGGGCCATCCAAGAATGGATGAGGCAAAATGTCAGGCTTGATTTATAACCAAGAACCCGTAGGACATTATTACAAAATTGATTTTGGGTGAGTAAAACTCCTAGAATCAAACTTGGCATGAAAGAGATATAAGGGAGAAAGGTATGCTGAAAAATGGACTTTTTAAGAATTTTTGAGTCTCTAAAGTTCGTGCAATCCGCTATAGCGCGCGGTAGGCCACTATAATGGGAGAGTGCATGCACTATGGCGGGGTGACAATTGCTATAGCGGGGTAAGTCAGGATTTTACGCAGAAAAAGTCTCAAAACCTTTTATTTTATGCATTAATGTTTTTCAGTTTGAGAGGAGAAAATTAGGGCAATTTCTACCCAATTTTTCATCAATTCATCGGTAAAGGTAAGTTCATTACTCCCCGATCTTGTAATTTGATTCTTAAGCCTTAGAATCTAGGGTATTACTCTTGGGGGAAGATTTTGATTTGATTTAGTGGTGGGAAAAAGCCTCGGGTCTGGTAGAATGATCATGAATTGGCCCGAGTTTAGGATTTGGGTATAAGTTTGATATATTTAGGCCATTTTTGATTGATTGTTGTTTTTATTTATTGCTTTAGACCAAGAACAAGCCATGGCACCGAGAAAAGGGAAGGCTCGGATTCTTTAGAGCATTGAGGCTTAATTTGAAATAGGTATATAGTTGTATGTTTTCAAGTTTATGGATGTACACATGTCTACCACTTTATAGTATCACTTGTGTATTGCATGTTGGGCAAGACATAGAAAAACATATGAAATATCATCATGTTGATAATCTCATGCAGTGTAACCTTTTTTACTTTACTTAGTTGGTTTTAAGTGTTATTATTCATTGTGATTGTGATTGTGATTGTTTATGATTGTTTGTGATTGCTGGTTGGCTCAGGTACCACACCGATATATGAATAATAATGGTTGGCTCGATACCATACCTCGTAAGAATATTAATTCTAGTTGACTCGGGTACCATGCCGATACACTAACAGTTTGTGTGTAGGTTCCTTGAGAGGACCAGGTATGTGTATTTGTGGTTCCACGATAGGGTGGGGTTCTTGTAATTGTAATCATGTGGGACATGTTCTAGGTATTGGTTAATTCATGTTATTGTGACTGTGAGTCTATGTGATAGTAATTGTTGTTATATGTGTTGGCTAATGTTTACTATGTTGTGGTTATTTGTTTACATTCATGATTTGGAACTGACAGAGTGATCCTATCAGTACACAGTACACTCTGGTTGTGTATTGATATTACACCTGTTTTTTTTTTGTTGAGTACATAACATCTTTCAGGGGCTGATATGAGACCTCAGTTAAAGGATGTTTGACTTTGAATCCAAGGTGAGCTACTCTTCCAGACTGTCATGGATTCCTCTACATCTTCTTGCCTATCTTTTCAGACACAAACTTTAGATTATTAGTTTATGTTTCCTAGCTTTCAGGGTTGTATCCTCATTATTGACTAAATAGAGTTTTGCTACTACGATTTTCAGTTTCTAGAGGTCTTATTTTCGTAATATTTTGGACTAACGACTGAGTTTATACAAACTCAATTCTTTAATTGTTTTAAACTATTTTCTTACTATTTATTTTCATGAGTTGAGACATTGTGTGTTGGATTAACTTTGGATGGATAGATTGTTCTCCCATCAGGTGGTTAATGTGGGTGCCACTCACGACAATAAGGTCGTAGAATATTTTAAATAATTGAGTGATATTTTTTACCTTTTCCTTTTGATACTATGTTAAATTGGGAGGTTCTTTAGCTGGTGGACCAACCACCTGCGTTGTCTTTTTTTGACTTTGAGTAATGGTATTACGTATATTGACATTGACATGAAAATGGAATATTAATTTAGTGCTTGGCTTTATTAAGACTAAGAGCTTGACTTGTTACACGAATAATGCATCGTACGTTCCATATATAAATTCATTCTATCTTTGTCTACCTTGAATATATAAGATTGTTATTAATTTAAGTTTAAAAAAAACAATAATTTATAGAGAGAAACAACAGTAATATTGAGGGAATAAATATAACATTTTGTCTTTGAAAATTAATTATTGAGCAAAGCTGTATAAATATATGTAACATGCATGAATATATATTCCAATACCTCTAATAATTGTAGACAAAATGGTGTCATTGTCATAAACCTATTTATACATTGAATGCGGGAATATGTCAAGTTCATGTCATGCATTGTCAGTTTTGGATCTAATTCCTTTACGTATATATCTTTCGGGTTATGTTACATCGAGCTCCAAAAATGTTCGTACTATGTAAATTTAAAATTTAATTTATTGAGTTCTTTATTTTTTGCTCGCATTTTGATGTGCGGTTCACATAATTGGGTGTCCAACATACTTCAATTTCAAAAACTTTGACAGTCTAAAAGCCTTTGAATCCTGTTTGACTCATTCTCCTCATCAGTTTGCCCTCCATAAAATGAATCAAGCTAGTAAGTTCCAAGTACTAAATGTTTATATATATATATATGATATAGACTACCAATTTTCAGCGATAAAATTCAAATTTTAGAGAAATCGAATTTTCAAAACAACTATAACAAATTGTCAAGATATTCTGTCATAAGCTTTTAAGCACCACATTGCCACCATTATTTGTATGAAAGATATTTTGAATTCTCTCCGAAATCAAGAGAATGTTTTATGTAATTATACTTAGGTTTTTTATCCTTATTCTATCCTTCACAAAATCACTTTGGTTAAGATAAATTAATTTACTGAATAGATGATTACGACTTTTTTTAAAATAGAGGATTAAGACTACTTATGCCCTTTTTCTTT